ACCCCATCCCCTCCCCTCCCCAGATCTTCAGGAGCCACCCGCTGCAGCGCCGTTACAACGTGAAGGACGCCTTCGAGCCCAAGGTGCCCGAGCCCAACACGGCGCTGCTGTCCCTCGTCCTCATGGCCGGCACCTTCTTCCTGGCCTTCTTCCTCCGCAAGTTCAAGAACAGCGCGTTCCTGCCCGGCAAGGGGAGGCTGGGGGCACAGTGGTGTTCACTGTCCCCCCCGGACCTGGGGGACGCGCTGTGGCTCAATGAGTGCCTAAAGGTGGTGTTTGAGACCGTGCAAACTCGTTGCATGCACCCATGGAGCTCTTTGCAGCCAGGGGGGGACCCTGTGGTCTGGGTAGGGACACGGGTGGGTTTAACCTGGTCACGGTGTCCCCACAGGCCCGGCGCTTGATCGGGGACTTTGGGGTGCCCATCTCCATCTTCATCATGGCGCTGATCGACTTCTTCATCAAGGACACCTACACGCAGGTCCGGGAGCAGTGGGAGGGCGGTGGGAGGGGGACATGAGTGTCCCCAGCGAGGGGACAAGGAGCTGGGAGCTCCCTTAAACCGCCACTTCTGCTCCCATCCAGAAACTGAACGTCCCCAGAGGACTGGAGGTCACCAACACCTCGGCCCGGGGCTGGTTCATCAACCCCATGGGGGAGCACAAGACCTTCCCCATCTGGATGATGTTCGCCTCGGTGGTGCCCGCCATCCTCGTCTTCATCCTCATCTTCCTTGAGACCCAGATCACCACGTGAGAACCCGGGGGGGGGGTAACGGGGAGGGCTGCGGGGCTCCCGGTGGGATGAGGACGGAGGGGACGTGCCACCAACTTGTCCCCAATGTCCCCATCAGCCTCATCGTCAGCAAGCCCGAGAGGAAGCTGGTGAAGGGCTCCGGCTTCCACCTGGACCTGCTGCTGATCGTGGCCATGGGGGGGCTGGCAGCGCTTTTCGGCATGCCCTGGCTCAGCGCCACCACCGTCCGCACCATCACCCACGCCAACGCCCTCACCGTCATGAGCAAGACCTCGGCGCCCGGCGAGAAGGCCCAGATTTTGGAGGTCAAGGAGCAGCGCATCAGCGGCTTGTTGGTGGCCGTGCTCATCGGTGAGCCGGGGGGTGCCCCCCACCCCAGGGTGGTGAGGTCTGGGTGCCCCCAGCAGCTCCCCTTGAGCTCTCCTTCTCCCCTGCAGGCGTCTCCATCCTGATGGAGCCCATCCTCAAGTTCATCCCGCTGGCCGTGCTCTTCGGCATCTTCCTCTACATGGGTGTCACCTCCCTGTTCGGCATCCAGCTCTTCGACCGCATCCTGCTCCTGCTGATGCCCCCCAAGTACCACCCCAGCGAGCCCTACGTCACCCGGGTGAGTGACCGTGGGTTTGGGGGTGTCCTGGGTCACCCCGCGGTGCTGCTTGCGATTGCTTAGGGCTCCGCCAAAAGCCTCCCCCTTCGGTGCTGCTCTTTGCTGGGCAATTTTGGCCCCCCACCCTGACCCTGCTGTGTTCCTGGTCCTGCAGGTGAAGACTTGGCGGATGCACCTCTTCACCTTCACCCAGATCATCGTCCTCGTGCTGCTCTGGGTGGTGAAGTCCAGCCCGGGCTCGCTGGCCCTGCCCTTCATCCTCATCCTCACCGTGCCCCTGCGGCGCTTCCTGCTGCCCAAGATCTTCCAGGACATCGAGCTCAAATGCGTACGTAGCCCTGGCACGTACGGTGCTGTCCCCAACCTGTGTCCATCCCCATCCCTGTCCCCATTGTCATCCCCATCCCCATTCTCATCTCCATCTGTGTCTCCATCTCCATCCTCATCCTCGTCCTCATTTGTGTTCCCATCCCCATCTCTGTCCCTGTCCTCAGTCCTGTCCCAATTCCTGACCCATCCCCACTCTGTCCCCACCTTATCCACTCCTTGTCCCAGCCCCATCCTCATTTCCATCCCTGTCCCTGTCCC